AAAAAAATTGACTCATTTCTTTCACGATCCGCAAGTTCCGGTTGTGTTGCACCAAAAGATCCGCCGCAACTACCCCTCAGAGGGTGACAGTGCCGTTGCAATTTGGGAAGAAGGTGGCGAAGTGCAAGAAGGTTTTCTCCTCATCCGTCCGGATAGTGAGAAGGGCAAATTCAACGTGATGTTCGTCATGCGAATCCTAGAGGGGAACTTTGCTCCATGGGCCACCTTTCAGTTTCGACTTCTTATGGAGGGTGCTCATCGGTCAACACAATTCTTTCTCAATCGCCCAAACATTCGAGAACTGCGTGAAATTGATGAGAAGTTCTATGTGACTCTGTCCATCCAAAGCTTTAAGCGTGGATTGCCCATGGTGCCCTGCTCCAGCAAGCCAACGGTGACCATCGATGCTGGGGAGCGTTTGGGTTTGAAGCTTTGGAGACGCTACAAGACGGAGAGACGGGGAGCAGCTGGCAGTAAGGGCAAGTTCTTTCTGTCCGAGTATTTGACTATCCTGGTGAATGCTCTGGGAGAGGACATTGAGACTTTTGATACTTTGGATGGATTAGAAGTTGTCCCTTATCAATGCATTGTTCGACGGAGCGACTGGGAACGCGTGAGAATGCGCTTCTTTGACATCTACCCCTTGGCGAAAGCTGCGTATCGCAGGGCAAATGGGGGCACGTATGCGCCAAGTGTCCATGAGGAGGTTGAAACAAAGTTCAATCTGCAGGAACCCAAACGCATCGAAGAGGAAGAATCGCTGGACATGCCCAAGTTGGTGGTACGAAATACCTTCTTGGACCTCGAGGAAGATGACACTCAAGATCCTGCAGACAGGCCTAAACGAAGAACGAGAAGTGCCAAGCTTTTCCCTGTGGAGCTGAGCGTTGCCGAATTCGCATAAAGATTACACCGCAATACACCGCATTTAGCAGCTCAAGAGACAGTTGCAAATGGAGACAGAATTCATGTATAGAAGATGTCTCTAGCATTCACTATTTCTGTACAGGGAAGGCTGCCAATCCTCCACTGAACTTAGTCGATGTGTAAAGTGGAAAGACTGTAAAGATGTCTTAGTCGATGTCTAAGTGCATTTCTTGTACAGTGTCGTCGTCAGACCTGCTGAGCACCGTTCTATTCCAGTCAGATTAAAAAAATAGAATCAATCAGATCTACAGATCTACAGTATTTCAGTGGGTAGTAGGAACAGGAACATGGAGGCCTGGTATTTTTGAGTGTCTCCGTATTCAAATTTGTCTCATTGGCTTATGGCGGACTGAGTCGGTGAACCCTCCTCGCCCAGGTTCTTATGACAAGCTACCGTGGCGTCAGTAAGCTTCATCAGTCGAAGTGACAGCTGTTTGGAGACAAAGGGCGCTGAGCGCCATCGTGTTGCTCGAGCTTTGGCAGCTTCACTTGCAGCCTTGGATGAACAGTTTGCAATTCGGATTCAAATCAAAGAGCAATTCATGAAGCTCCAATCCCCGCCAAGCCGCTGCCCACTGTGCTTTCCCTAGTGGTGCCTCATTGGGAAGCCTGCATGTGTGAGTGTTTTATCGTGTGACATTGCAGATTTGCCGACACACCCATCACATCAGAATTCTCATGATCAAGACGGGGGTCCGGTCGGGCCAGGTGCGCGGCGCGCGGCCTGGTTCAGCGGAGGCGAGCGGGGATCAGCCCAGTCCGATGTTCCGATGTGCGCATCTTTGACCCGTTTGACAGGGCAAAAACCATAAGGAAACCCGTAGGTTCCAGGTGGGTCGGGGTGGTTCGAGGCACATACTTTCTTGGCGGCAAGGTTGTGTTTTGGGCGAATCCTGGTGAGGAAACCAAAACACTTTCGCGTACTCATTACCTTGCTTTGATTCCTTTGATTCGGAAGTGGATTCCAGTTGCTTAACAACAGGAGGCTTTGTTGATTGATATACATCTACACTCCTTTGTTCCTACAAGTTCAAAAGTGGAGACCGCATCCATTGTGTTTTCACATGCTTTCACCGCAAGGACGCTATTAATAGGTTGAAGGATGTTGGAGGCCATCGTGTTACTAGTAACAGAGGACGCTACGAAACGGAACCAACGGCGTCGCTCCGAAGCGAACGGGGCGCCCCAAGCGACTCGTCCAACTCGTCCGGCTCGACTGCACCGGTGCGGTGCTGAGCTCCGAACCGACGTCGTCGCGGACGCGGCCGGTGCGGTTGGACCGCGTCGCCGCCATGGGCGCCATGGGCTCCACACCCTCGCGGTGCTGCGAGGGGTGTGGAGACCGAGAGGCTGCAGAGGCTGAAGAAGTAGTGGCGAAGCCATGGACTGAGGAGCCAGGCTGGGAGAAGATGGGCAGTATGAATACCAATGAACAGTTCCCATAGGTTCGACCCGATGTCGCGTGGACATGTCCAGAGATTGAATTTAGATTGGCCCGTCTCCGGGCTTTTGGACGGAGGCTTTTCTGGGTCTATAGGTGATGAGGTGCCCAATGCATGGGGGTTCTTTTAGATAAAGAAAGAGAAGAAACATGTATTCCGGAAGCCGGGTGCTCAAAGATGGAAAGCCCAACTCAAGTGAGGTCACTACTGGAACCAAACATGCTGATCCGAAGCTTCATAGAATGACAGAAACTTTTGCGGGTTGTAAAGACTGCAGTATTCTGCACGTTATTTATACAATTTTATACATCTTAAAATCAACTTCTGTAGTCTTAGATCAATGCTTTGGACATCTCCAATTCCTCCGGCCCCTTCTCGGTGCTCCGAGCTCGGTGCTCAGGCCCTTGCGCTCAGCCGTCCCGGGCGAATGGGGCCCGGGCCGGGATTGGCCCTCGAAGCTTGCTGGATGTGCTGCAGGGCAAGTGGTTTCGAAAAGAGGATGGCCAACCAGTGGGTGATATCTCAGGACGGACTCCTCGGACCGAAAGAGATTTCTCGAGGTCGGAGAGTGCTGCCGAGAAATTGGAATCCACCGTTTTTTTTTTTCCCAGCCCGTGTGGGAAGCTCAAGACCAGTTTTTGTTCATATATGTTTCATGTTCATAGGTTTGACTTTCACTCTGTTATCAAGAATGCCTTCAACTTCAACCTTTTCAACTTCAACCTTCTTCCCTGCACACCAAGCCGCATGTCGCTGTTTGCGCCAGGGCCCTACATCGTTTGGCACGCGCGCTGGCAGTTCCGGGAGTCGGTCTCGCCCCTCAGCGAGGACCTCACCGGTGCTTTAGTCATCGACTTGGATGGCCAGCTGCATTTCGGCCGACCCTACTTCGGTCCAGAGACGCTCATCAGCTTCTTGGCGTTCGTGGAGGGAGCCGAGCTGAGGGAGCTGAGCTACTTCGGGAAAGAGCGACGGTGGAGAGGTGGAGAGCTGGTTCCGGAGCTGGAAGGTTGTGAGATGTTGTGAGAGGGAAGAGATGGAGTTGGCAGGTTTTCAAAAAGGGAGGACATCATCTATGTGGTATACATACCACGTGTGTAACTATGTCCAACGAGGTGCACGGATAGTGGGTTGTTTGATTTGGGCTGTTGCAATTTCTTTGGGAGGGCCCGAGGCTATTGGTAAGATGGTAAGAATGGTAAGAGGCAGTTCAAACCAAGCCTTGTGTCATTTTGTCCGCTCATTAAGTTGGAACTCCAGAGGTTCATTCAGCAAATGAACTAACTCCGCTGAACTAGTTGAACTCATTTTCTCCACTTTAGTTCATTCAGTTGTGACCGGAGGTTGGGTCAGTCAGGTGCCGAGTTTCTCAGTTGGCATCGGATGGCATTTTCCCATGACCGTCAACCCGATGGCCTCCAACCTAATAGCATGGCCTCCAATAGCGATGACCTCCAACCGTATAGCGATGGCCTCCAACCCAATTCAATAGCGATGGCCTCCATCAACCCGACAGGCTGGGGTGATGGCGATCTGTGGGTGAAGAGGTGACGAGACAAGCCGTCGGGCCTTTTTTCATTTCACCCGTCAGCTGGATCAGCTGGAAGTGGATGACCACAACAAACCAGGAGGTATAAAAAGTAGATGCATAACATGTTGGTGAGTATCTGAAAGACTGACCTCAATTCTCAACACCTGCTGGGCATAAGAGACGCTGCACTAGGTGCAGTCTGTGAGGATCCAGCATCAAAAGACTGTCAACCATGGGCAGTCGAATTCCCGTAGCGAAGCTGTACCGTACCGGAAAGGACGGGCAGCAACAGTGAAGAAGAGGGCGCAACAAAGGTGTCTCCATTCCGGCCAGGTGCTCTGAATGAAGCGCTCACTTGCTCGACCTAGCTCTCACCTACGATCCCAAAAACAGAAACACCCTAGCTAATTTCGAGACTGAGACCGCACATGGGGCTTCCATCGGACACCCTATTATGTAGACGGTCCCGGTCAACCGACACGCTTCCTTGTTTGATCTTGTTTTACTACCCTCTTTGGATGGATCCTCGGCGCGGCAGGTGCACACGCCAGAGGCGGAGATCCGTACATTCCTTGCTCGACGGAGAGAACAAGGCCGAATCTTCGGTTTGCGATCCAGATCGGGCGATTCCCACATGAGGATCAAGCTGTAGAGCCACTGTAAGTTGGATCGAATCCAAGCTTTGGTCTTTAAGCCGTATTGTATGGACGGCAGCAGGTTGTTCGATCCGCATTCGGGGCACAGAGCACAGAGTAGCACCAGCAAAGTGAACCTTTGAACCAGGCGCCAGTGGCAAAAGGAGGCGCATGGTGACCATGCTTTCGAACAATCCTGGGGTAGACGCCTTGAAAGGTCCAGTCACATTGTCAGTCCATAATTTATTCCCGGACAATTCGAATACGTACCCAGATTGTCTATGTTACGATATGTTACGATTAATTGTGTGTTGTCACCACCTGCCTGCTGCATTTATGATCTAGCTACGCTCAATTGGCTGAATCAGTGCCGGCACCACACCTTTGGATACGCCTAGTCCCCAGTCCCAAGATGTCCTAGGCAGGCTCTATATATACTAAAATGCCGTGTACAACTGTGCATGACGATGTGACAAGAACGTGCAAGAGCCCTTCAACCATGCCGTAGAATTTTGTGGATGTTTGCAGGTGTTGAGCAGGCTTTTGTGGGCGTTTTTGGGGCCATTTTGGGTGCAGCAAATCAAAAGAACCGCAACCCCCACATCGAGTTTCAAACAGATCAGATGCACAACATTGGCAAGAAGATGTAAACCCTAGCCCATGAGGCCTAATTTGCTACTTGAAGACAAAGGTTGGAGTGGATGCTGATGAACCGCCCTCTGGGGGCCTACCTGCCAGCCACGGACCAAAAGCGCCTACCCACCACACAGCTAGCGACCAAGCTGCGATCCATCACCCAATTGAGAGCCGTTCGTGGGTGTGTTCCAGGGTCGGTGGTGGAGGCCATCGCTATCAGTAACAAGTGCATTACTATTAGGAACAAGAAGCTACTAGGTTGGAGGCCATCGCTCTTAATATCACTTTTAAAATCATTTCATATAATTGTGTTCTTGTTTTTTTCGGCAGAATTCCTGGTCTTTGAAGTCCCAAGACTTCGTTGTCGCCGAGCTTCGGCTCCCAGCAAGCGACACCCCGGCGCTTCTGCAAAGAGCCATGGGGCCCAGCATCCTCGCGCGAGGCCTTCGGCTCCTCACGTGGTCGGTGCTTTTCGCTACCGGAACCGTTTCTCGCTCTGCAACGGCGGAAAGGCTGGAGGAGGTCGAGCAGGTGGACTTGCTTCAACGGAACTTGGAACTCCAAAACTCCCCTCTGGAGCGACGCCGCAAGGCGTCACCCATGTTCTGGCTCCATATCCCCAAGTGCGGCACCAGCTTTGCCAATACAGTGATGCACCTGCCACAGATGTGCCCTGGGCTGAAGGAGAATGTGAGTTTGGGAGATGTGGAGATTTGGAGTGAATGCTTCGAGGTCGCTTTCTGGAAGTTATGCCCAACCCTTTGTGACCAAAGCTTGGTTCACTGCAATAGATGGCCAGACGGAGAAGGCTTCACAGGCCTGAGGGTGTTTTTTGATGTTTTTCGTTGCTTATATATGCAAGGTTGGGAATCTTCCCGCGACAGGCTAATAGGCTATTTGTATTGGAAGCTTTAGATCATCCGCCAGGCATTCATCAACTCTTGACAGATGAGAAGTACTCGAAACACAAGGGTCACTTGGTCGCGCTCTTTCGTCAGCCGGAGCAGCGCTTGCTCTCCGCCTACTATGATGACAGAGAACTCTTTCGTACGACCGATTTCGTCTGTTCTTGCTGCGACAAGAGCAAGTACAACACCGATGAACTGTCGATGGAGGCCTTCATCCAAACATGGGGCAGCTGGGAAACAGGCCAGTTGGTGGGAAAGGATGCGAGCAAAGAGCAGTTGAGCTTGGCAGATGTGGCTAAAGCCTTGGAGCGCTTGGAAGATGGATTCGCATTTGTGGGTTTGCAAGAGGAATGGGACTCTTGGATTGATGTGTGTTTTTCGGTGGTGCTTGGAGATTTTGTTTTCTAATGTTTTCTAGCTGACTTCTGATTCCGTGTGGCTGAACTGCATTCTGCCGGGTGGATGTAACACCACACCTAAACCCTGCCAAAGAAGGTGTTGTTTTTTTGGGTCTGTGTGTGTGTTACACTCTGTTCCTAAGAGTTTTCCACAAGCAGGAGACCAGGCAGGATGCATCGTCGCCTGGTCAACGAAGCTGGCGATGCATCCGAGGATATGGAAATGGGACGCCATTTCCACGTAACTGCTGAAAACTGTTGTTTACGCTGTGACTCCACTTGTGCTTTTTTGTTTCCATGGTGGTTCTTCGCATGATATCCCCCAAAACAGGTTTCCTTAGCTTTGGTAAAGTGCTAGTGAGTTTGTTAAACAGTTCTGTTCTTCGGACCCTTTCGCCTTACCGTTCTTGCAGCAAAGTGCTAATGCAGTAACTAGCTTCCGCAGTCACGCAAAACCTTTGTTAAACATCTTCAAGTTTTCAGACTCACTCACCTTTCCGTTCCTTCACCTGGGAATAGAGTTAACTCAGTAAGGTTTCGGTTCGGTTGGAATCGGTTTGAATGTTTAATGGAAACTTCGAGTCGGTTCGGTTGGGTTGAAGAAGCATTTTTTCGTGCATTTTCGGTCCGGTTCGCGGTTTGCTTCGGTTCTGTAAGGCATAATTTAACCTATGAGACAAGACAAGACAAGACATAGATAGAACAAACAAGACCAGAGAAGACAAAGCAAGACATGATATGACAGGACATATCATAGCAAACCAAAGCAAAAGAGAATACCTTCAATCAAAAGCCCTAGGGTGAGTGAGCCGTATTGAAAAATGGCGTTCCGTTCCACTCCTTTTCGTGGCTTTGCTTTGCTGTCCAATATGCTTTTTAGACCGCCGGGAAAAAGCATATTCACAAACAGCTGTCTTTTCCTCAGCTTCCCACGGCTCAGAGGTGGTCTTGACTTTCTTGTTGTCGACACGATGTCCCTCATGGTGATTTCGAACCGGTTGCCTGAGCAGCTGCGCTTGGCTCGTGTGCAGCTTTGCGTGGGGCTGTTCCTGTTCAGCCCTGCAGCAGTGCAACGAGCTCGACAGGAGTGAGCTGCGCGTTGCGCTCCAGTTCTGTGCCGTTCTGGAGCCTTTTCGCTTGGGCACCAAACTCTTGGAAGGGGATGACAAAGCGCTAGCTTCTCTTTACCTCCCGGTCTTCCAGACCTGATCAGTCTGGCGTGCCTGCATTGAACACACTGACTCCAATGGTCCGCCCTTCGCTGCGTTTTGTTTTCATGGTTTTTGCATGCTGCTTTCCCACAAACAGGTTTTTTCCCTCCGCATGCAGCTGCTGATCGCCGCTTTCGCTGGAGCGCTTTCGCAACATTTGTTCAACATTCTGTTGATGGCGGACTCTACCACCTTTCCTTTCCCTCACTCCTTTCCTCGGGGAATTGATGTCACTGAACGCCCATTGTCAAAGTGTGTGTGTTATTTCTTGCAACAGTGTTTTGTCAGGCCTTGAGCCGCTTGACAATGGACTGAAACATGATATTTGTATAAAATTTGTATATATACACGATTGTTATTTTTTACTGTTTGTAAAACTATTTGTTTGTTATTGTTAGTAGTATGGTGTCAGTTTGGTGCGTGTTGTGTAGCATTGTATTGTGTAGTACTTGTGAAAGATTTACTGATTTACTCAATATATATAATAGGGGGGCCCTAGTACCGGCACATGTCACACCACAAAATACCACAATGAAAAATACAGAACATACGTTTGTGGCATTTCACTTCTTTGTGATTTTTCATTGTTAAGGAGCTCTCAGTTTGTCTCTTCCACACCAAGTTCGGTGGGCCCTGCCTTGCCGTGGACTTCGATGACATCCGCCCCACACGCGGCCAAAACTCCTCCACCTACGACGTCCATGTTCTGAACGGCTGGACCGATGATTTTGATCGCAAGGTGGAAGGGTTGATTGATGTTGTGAGATGCAAGTATGATCATGAGCGTTGCAAACCCTCACTACTGCCCACTACTGGGCCGATCTACTAGTATACAGTAGTGTAGTGCCTTATTGGAGCCAGCATTGGGGCGGCAGGAGTGTTGGGGGGGTTTTGGAACCTCATGATATGAGTATAATGTGAGTAAACTTGGACCCTCCAAAGAACACAGGAACATGGGATGCTGGAGATACCCTCTAAAGACTTGCACTTGTGTACACATATGTATATATACCCATTGTGGCGTGTAGTTGAAGTGTCTAGGAATGGTTCCTTTCAAGAGTAGACAACATTTTTTGAATGATGTATTTGCACAAAGAGGTGTAACGACTGTAACGATGCTCCTACTACTACATGCTCTAATGCTGCTGCGGCTTCGAGCAGCTGCTAGGCCCTGCCGTGTCATGTCGGTGCCTTTTATTCTCGCCGCACATAAAGAGGCATGTGTTCAGAAACGGACGTGTAAGAATCAACGTTCGCAAAATTGGAAAACTACTCGTTTCGTACAACTTCAACATTCCACAGCTTGAAACATTGGATATTAAGACACGTTGACATCAAGCCTGAACCGATTTTCGATGCTTTTGTCCTTTCAAAATGCCGGCGAACGGACCGCCAGCTGAACTGTCAATGAACCTCAATTCAGTGAATTTAGTGATGAGCAAAAACATGAACGACAGCATGTTTGTGGATAGCAAGAGTGCATGTACAACGCCAGGCATACTCTACTCTCATGCTTGTCATTGATTTGTTCCAATTTGATCCAATTTGGGGGTCCAATCATGGTCGTCTCGGTTTATGTAAACATATATATATATGCCAACCGCGAGGTCTATGCGAAGGCGAAGAACATCTTTGAAAGCGACCTGCTGAAATTCGGGGTCTCCCATGAGACTTGCAAAGCATGTTACGAAGAGGCAGGCTTGGAATGGCAGGATTGATGTTCGCATAGAATAGCCTCAGAAAAGGCCGCGGGTCGTGGGTCGTCGGTCCCAAGAATGGAGTGCCCCTGTCACAAGATATGACACCCCAAAACGCACGTCTGAATGGCACTTCAACATCACGTGCCAACCGAAAACGGGACTGCTGAGTCAACAGCGCAACCCTATCTGGATCATCCTGGATTCCATTTTCTTTAGTAAAGTATTGCTCCCAGCATCTCCCATCCTATTCCAAGACTTGGAAGGCCGTCAGCATTTTTGCGGGTGTTCCAGGGTGTTCCTCAAGTACTTCATGACCGTCCTCAAGATTTGTCCTTGAAACAGCTAAGATGGTGCTGAGAGGTTCCAAGCACTCCTCAGACGGCAGGGAGATGAAGATGAGAGGCGTTTTGAGGTGGACATGATTCTCTCGGCCCGGCAGGCTGGCATGTCATGGTGAAGCACAGGGTGTCTCTCTTTGAAGGGTCCGGGCCCGGGCCGCCATTCTTGTGCTGAGCGCTCCAGCCTATGACATTCATGACATTAGAGTTTGGTTTCAAACCTTGAGCAGAGCTCATCAAAGGGGCTAGAGTCTTAATGATCTTAATGGGACTGCTAGGCCATGATTGACCTCATCTCGGCGAAATTGGTGGTTCAATGCCCAAATGTCATCAAATGTCCATGTGCTTCAGAAGGGGACATTGTATGACATGGTTTAACCCTTTGGTGAAAAAGCCCAGCTGACCATCTTGCTAGTCATGTTTGGGTGCAAACCGGGGTCCGAGGTCGGATTCTTCGATGTAACTCCTCTGAAGCGCGCAAATGACCCCCAGCACTCAATGTGCTGCCAGTGGCGGGAAAAAATTGAACGAGATCGCATGAGGCAGCGCGAGGGTCTGAGTGTGTGGTGACTGTGCCGACCACATGAAACGGGGAGGAAATCGGGCAACTGGGATCCAAGTTGACATGCGCTTCTTCAGGTGATGCATATTCGAGCAATCTGCAAGAAGCCCCAATTCGACGTGATGAACACGTGGAAACAGTTCAACCATCTTCGACTGAGTCGGTAGTCTGCAGCGAAGGGACTTTGGGCTTCTTAGGTTTCTTGAAGCTTTCTTGTGCAACTTGTGCATGTTTTCTTCCCTGTGCCCGGCAGTCCTGCTACAGCAACTTGTAGCCCTGGCCATCATCATCTCATGTTTTTTTGGAGGAGCATGTTCGGTCCAGCCCAACTTTGTCGCTTTCCCCTTGTTTTCCTTTCACCCAAATCAATTACGAGCAAGCTATGTGTATATGAGAAGATCGGGAAGTGCACACGAGGATGTGGTTTTCACAATGGGACTTTGTATCCTATTGCCATTTCACCCAATACAACATACTTTGGCTCAAGACTGAAACAGCTGCACGCCTAGTGGCGCTAGTTGGCGGCTCACTTGTAAACACAGGTTATCAGCCGTGTATATCGCCATAGGTGCAGTACGTTTCCTGGCGCACCGTCCGGGAAGCATGGGCGAGGCGATGCTAGACGATCGCTCTTGTGCGCGATGCGTTCCTACCACACCAGGCGAGTCGCTGGGTGAGAGAAGATGAAGTTCCGTCACTGTCTGTTGAGCTGGCGCGTCGCTTGCCAGGGGGCGTGGTGCCTTTGCATTCTCCTTCTTTTGCATCCAGCTTACACGGTTGCATAAACCAAACCTGATCATGACGACAAATCCAACAAAGAGAAGAATAACAAGAAGGAGAAGAGAAGAGAGAGGAGTCATGATCGAGGCAAATCAAACAGGAAACTCCTCATCATCCCCCTCCACCCTCTCCACCTCCAAGTTCCTCTTCGGACAATGGGTCAGACTCAAGCAGACTCAATGCAAGGTCGGGTGATCGCTTGGCACATCATTCGAAAGGAGCTGAACAAGCAGCGGAAGATGGAAAAGGATCAAGATAAGGAGCCTCGTGCCAAGGCGACAAGATTGTCAGCCTGAAGTTTCCGACGCCGCAGAAATACCGGGATTGGGAAATACGGAAATCAAGTTGTGGGGGCAACATGTCCGCTGCATCGGCTAAGCCGTATGAACAATGGGTTGGCAAGGTCTAAGTCTACGCGAACAATCAGACCGGTGAGGCCTTGAGGAGTGAAGATGGTCAATGATGACCTCAAAGGCTTTGTGAACAAATGGGGTCCCATCCTGGCCGGCATGAAGAAAGAAATGTCCTTGCAGCTTACTTTCACCTTGTGGTGAAAAGTTCAAGCCATTGGAACGTGACCTGGCACTATATGACCGTGCTTTTGAGGGCTCGAAAGAGAGATCCTATGAATTCCTCATCGGAGTAGCTCACGCCTATCTTGAGCAAAAACAACTGGGGAAGAGCCTTGCAGCTCCGGCGAGCTTGCACCTTGCTAAGGAGGAAAGGGTCATGGTCCACGGCTTGCCCACTGGCAATCTCGGCAGCAACGCCAGCGACAGCATGATGATCAGGCAAAGGGAAAGGATTGGCAAACTTGGTACTCTTCGCGCCATACCGGTTCATCAAGCTGGTGGCAAAGTGGCAGCTCCGATTGGAACCATGGTGGGTAGCAGAGCTGGGACTGGACCAGTTCTCGTGCATGGTGAAACCCCCCGCGTAGCGGGAGCCGTTGATCGTCGAACAAAACCAAAACCAAACAAATTGTCCAGCAGGCGCTAATGACAGGAAGTGGAATGTGGCTGATGGACATCCTTTGTGCTTTGTCACGCTACGCCATTTTTGTGAGCCATGTAAAGGTTCCATTCCTTCTCACTATCTGGAAGGTGTGTCATTGCGCTCTACTGTTCCGTTCCGCTCAAACACGCATGATTCGCGGCCGATTTCATTGCGTGAATATGCCCAGCTCTTGGAGTCCTCTCTTATCATCTCGAGGCACGGGCTTCGGTTTACATGTGTTGTCACACAGGGGGGCCGGATGTCTTTCGAGCATTTCGTCCTGATTAGAGCATGTCACGTACATAGTCTTCGCTCCTGTTGGGCCTTCCCTCAGCGGGGTGTGTGTTTTCTCACGATTTTCATGATAGGACTCGGTACCCTATTGAAATTTCACCTAAGATTACATCCTTCGGCCCAAGCGTAAGCCAGGTACGTGCTTAGTGTAAACACACTAAACGTGCCATGGTGCAAATTCCGCAGCAAGACACGGCCCCTAAACATCGGCCGCCACCAAAAAAGCCGACATGGATCCAAAACATATCTTTGCGGAACATCCACGCAAAAAAAAAATATATCAATGTTACCCACGGCACATTTGTGGACTGGACCCAACTGTAAGAAAGGCCTATGTTTGTTGGAGCGTCCCAAGGTGCTGGAGCAGCCCAGGCGGGACCGAAGGGTGACATGAAAGTCCGCCACCCAGAGGCGCACAGGCTCTTGATAGCCCGATGCGTGTTATAACAGATTTGACCCCTTGCCGAAGAGAGGGACTGAACTGGCAGTTTCGAGCATCTGAAAAGGGCGTGTGGGATGAAGATCCTCTGCAGATACGCTTGATGCGAGTTTTGGTGGAATCGTTCCTGCGGACTTACATGGGTCAAAGGTCAAAGCGATGAGAAAATAGGTTTTGCAATCCAACGTTTTGATTTTTGGTTGGCTACCACTGTAGCTACTCACATCGTTACAAACTCTTTTGCCCCGATGTTGAAAGCTTGTAAATATGTATTTATTTACTTATAGGTGTCTATAGCGTAGCACTGTTGTACACACATATATATATATGTATGTATATTTACATTTCTAAATGCAAAGGCAGGTGTAGCACTATGTGATCAGTGATCAGTGCTTGAGCAGTTTCAGATTAGATGTTTCCGTGGCGCCAGGGTGATAGCGAGGAGAGTGAGACAGAGGCCCCGGAGGGAAGTTGAAGTCACGTGTTGACGCCTGGAATCTCTTGACGTAAATCCTTTCGTTCAAGGGTGGAGGTTTTTCCAATCAACCATTCAAGCATCATGGATGATCGTGGAGGTATACATTGGTCAATGTTACTGGTCACCGTTGCATTTTGCAATTGCAGGAAAACGCACACACACAAACACAGGACAAAATACCCCGGTGAATAGAGCAACGCCTCCAAAACTAAAGACAGTGACAAACCATCCCCAGACCACATTTTTTCTTTACCGCTGGACCACTTTTAGGGGCAGCTCCATTCATGAGAGGGTCATTAACTGGCTTGGAATTCTTGCACCTTGTCAACATTTTCCGGTCCACCCGCCTGGATTCAGCGTGAGGTCACCAGCCCCGAAAGCCGACGCAAACCCACACGCCGCGGCGGGCGCCGTGCGAGGCGCTGCACGGCCCCGGGAGGATCCGGAGAGGGCCGTGTTGGAAGCAGTTGAAAGTATGCATAAAAATCCACGAAAGCAGGCCCCGCACTGCCTACCACAAGTTGCGGATTAGACTAAGCAGGGCGATTTGTTTTTGGATGTCTGTTTGTCGTTTGTCTCTAATGTTATGTTTTTTTGGTCTCGTGTGTTGATTCCGTGTGGTTTCTTTGTTTTTTTGGTTTCCGTGAGTTCTGTCGCGTTTGGCTTTTGTGGCTTTCTGTGGCTTTTGTGCTTTGTGGTTTTGTGGCTTCTGTACCATTTGGCATCTGTGGCTTTTGGTTTCGGTTCCCTTTGGCTTCGTTGGCGTGTGTTCAATACTCCAGAAAGAGCTAATTACCGAACAAAATCCGTACACTTGTGCGTTGACACACATGTCCAAACAGAAGGAGCTACCTAATAGAAAACCGACAACAAGGAGGAACCCATGGGACAATTGTACACGTGCACATCTACACAACTTTCCAAGACTCCTAAAGGACCTATATATACTTTGGTTTGTTTGGCGTTTGTGGTTTTTGGTGGCTTGTGTGATTTGTGTCGGTTTGGTTTTTGATTGCTTGCTGTTGGTGGTTCTGTCAGATTTTGATGATTAATTTAAAACTTTGTGGTTTGAGTGACTCGCATTGGGCTGATTTGGCTACGGGTTGGTTTTTGATGGCTTGCTTTTGGTTC